TTTGTCATGTTCTTCACAAGTGAAAATTATGATCTCCAAATTATTTACACATTCACGATATTGTTAGGTGATCAACATGTCAAAACTTGAGAATAAATAACATAATAAAACAAATACCTTTTAACACTTAAAACAATCTGCATTTCTCTTTCAAAAGTACACTTCAAATCTTGTGAACAAGTAACTTTGAGATCATATTGAGCTGATCAAAATGTTGATATTGAATAATTGAATTGATATTTTGTTATAGACTAGTCTTTTGATATTTTTTGTTATAATCAAATTATTTGGAATTCCTCAACCAAAGACATCGTAATCTCTTTCTTGTGAGAAGAATGAAGTGAAAGAGTCTTCATTACTTTTGTTATTTTTGATATTTTAATTAGTTAGTTAAATTATTATTCACTTCAATTAAATTAATTAGTTAATACAGTTATTCGGAACACTATACCTAATTGAAACACTATTACTTTATCTTTTTCCCCTCTCAAACTATAACAATTTCAGTAGAAATTGGCATATTATTTTCATATTCTTCTTATATTTGTTTAATTGTTCACGTTTATTAGCTAATTACCCAACCAGTGAAAAATGTGTAACAATATACTGTAATAATAGTGCGATTTTTCAGATCCCTCATTTCTATGCATGTTGTAATAATGATAATGTCTAATCGAGTCCCAAATTTAGAAAAATGATTGTTGGCTTGAATATCGAGTTTTCATATTGTAATTACGTAGAACGTTCCCATTATCGTTATATTTAAAGAGTCTCTAATTTAGAAAAATGATTGTTGGTTTGAATGAATCTCTATATTGAGTTTCCAAAAAGACGCAGACATACGTATTATGTTGGTTTTTCGTGACCATGGGTCATGCGAATTTTTTTTATTTTCGAAACATATGGGCTAAAATACATTATAAAAACTGTGACTATATGGAGGTCAAATTTCTTTCTTATGTTTCATAATAAGTTGGTTCTTGAGAAAATGGAATTTGTGACTATATAGAGAGTTATTATAAAGAAGTCTGACTGTATTAGAAATTTGTCTTCCAATCACAGAAGAAGTCCACAATCTATTTCGAAAATTAATTGTAGAGCAGGAGTATCAACACCTTCATCATGGTTATAATCCAAGGGAAGAAATCATATTCATATTGCTTGGCTAGTATGCGTGACACAAGTGATTGTGAAAAAGTCTTGAAACTATGGTGCAAACGGTCTAAAGACATCCAATACTTTAAACTGTAAAGGATTTGCATCCAAACACTTTAACCACAAAAAAAATACGTTGCTAAATAACTTTTGATGAGAACTATAACGTAACGTATTTTTCTTGTGATTCAAGTGTTTGGATACAAATCCTTTACAGCTTAAGGTATTGGATATATTGGATATCTTTAGACTGTTTGCACCATAGTACCTTCATACCATGAAATTGTTAAGAGTTTTAGCCCACAATTTAATGGTATTCTGCTCGCATCAGAGTTACCGACACGTAAATACAAATATTACAATAATAATCCATGCCTTTAAAAAATTAAATCTGAATAGCGAGCGTTTTTACGTGTTGATCACCTAACAATATCGTGAATGTGTAAATAATTTGGAGATCATAATTTTCACTTGTGAAGAACATGACAAATGTTACAACGACAAATTATTCAACAAAAAATATCAAATTGATAATAACCGAAAAACTTTGCCGATATCGAGTTTAATAACTCTGTTAGTGACATGCCAAAAGTAACTGATACTACATACATGTATATTGATCCAAATATCTGAATTGCCTTTACAGTATCTTCACCACCTAGTATCCCCTACGATAAGGCTTTGTATATCGATATCGATATCGATATTTATCATTACGTACTGTCATACAAACAGTCGAAGTTTATTACATGTAAATCCGTATATAAGATCAAACTATGAAGTTTAGATACTAATGAAAAACGAAATTATATTCTGCTAAAGTTAGGTATATTAAAATGATTATCTATGATTGAAACATGTTCATCTCCAATATTTTCTAAAATAAGATCCTCTAAATTTGAGTAAATCACAAAGCTGATGAATATTACTTAATCCAAGTACATTGGTATTGATTTCCAAAATCCTGATATTACGGTTCAGCAACTTTAATGCATTTATTAAATCTCTCATATTTTCTATATTGTTTTTTGATACTTCGTATCCGTCGTCGCCGTATTTGTCGCAGTCTAATGAAAGCTTGACTTTTTTCAATTTTGCTAAAATAAACGGTGTACGAAATGAGGAAGTGAGTTTATATGTTTGTGTGAGAAATTGTAAGTCTATTGGATTTTGATTGATGTTATTACTATTCTGATATGTGTTTTGCCAGATTGAATCATCACGCGCAACGGGATCAGCCGAGCCATTGCGAGTGTACCGGTACCACCCGATTACTATTACATGTACATGTATAAGATTATCCCAATTAAAATTTTTGATAAAAGAAGTGTACAAGAAAAGTGGTTGAGGATAAGCTTTCTTTAATTTGAGTCCTGAATTAATTATTACATTACGTTCCTCATCATTCATACATCTAATAAGCGTTTCTGTAATGCATATGCTATCTCTATCACTCCAAAAATAACTGATGGAGTTCCATAAAAATGGAATTGCGAATCGACACCAGGTTCGATTAACTAACGCAGTGAAAAACAATGTTTTATCATCGATGAGAAAAACCCTGTTAGTTTTTTATGGTTATAAGTGAAATCACCACCATATTTACAAAAAAATGTTTTAATAGATATGAATGGATTTCAAGACCAAGAGATATAAGAACTACTTTTTTTTTTGGTAAAAACATCACATTTTAATCATCATGAACTAAAGCTCAAGTCACCTAACAAAGATCAGCAATAATTGTTCTATTTTGATCTTTTATCAATCGATAGAACATGTCCGAAAAAAATTGGGCAACTGCACATAGACAATAGAAACTCGGCGAATTTCCTATGTAAGTTTCGAAATGACTACCTTGGCTCTATAACATTCTCGCAATTCTGCAACTTACTTGACCAGTAGTATCAATAAACATGGTGCGCTTAGGTATAGTTTGTATTGGTTCAAAACTTTTATTCATAAAGACATAGGATTTTAGTCCATCTCGAGTTAAAGAAACTAATTCAAAATAAAATAGGTGACAAATATCAAAAAACCACGTGTTCACACTTATATGTAATATCACAGTTCGTAGCAAGATTTAAGTCCTGTTTTTTTTTGTTTCTTATTCATATTCTTTTAGCGTTTCTTTATCGTTATCATAGCTTCTAGTTTACACATATACACTTAACGGGATTTCTGATAGTTTAGAATACAATGACCCGGATAAAGACTATGAATTTCTTGATGATAATGATGATCACGATGATGATGATGATGAAGTTCCTGATTCCCCGAACTCAACCACCACCGCCACTACTAACACTACCAACGCCAACATAGACTCATCAAATTACAATAATGATGACCTGTGTTTCGACGAAAAAACTTTTAATTTAATTCATGACTTAATCAAACAGACATCAAATGAGTTCGAACAAATAGAAGCGAGTGTGGATTGGTTGACGTCTGACATCGATCATTCAGAAGTGAAATCTGTATGGACAATACCAACTGACGAAGCTGAAGATATTGATTATTACGATGTTATTTCTACTTTAAAAGTCGAAGAACCTGATCATCAATGTGTAATTATCGATACGATTAATAATAAAGTTCAAAAGTGTTCCAATCCTGTATTTCGTCCGATCAAACAATTACAAGCAACGCGAAAATTGGATTTGCATTTGTAGATAAGAAAATAAATAAATACAGAAATAAAACTTTACAATTATTAGGTGTATGCTCTAATCACTTTAATTTTGATCAGGATGGAATTCATAAAAGGGGATCAAAGAAGAAAGTTTTGATTAATGAGGTCTTGATCCATCGGCGTCGTTGTCTATTCTGTCACAAACACAAATACTTTTTTAGTAGAGATAGTTGCAGTGAATATTCTTGGAAGGTTTTAGGATGCAATCTACAAGTATCTTGTATCAGATTAGAGGAATGTCCAGTTTATAAATAGAATAATTTTTCACAGAGATCGTTAAGTAATAATCATGTGTGTTATACCTGTTCTTCTTGTTTCTTAGCAGAGGGTGGACATTTTATTAAACGCAAGCGAATAGGAAATAAAAAATCAAATGCTTTGATCAACACAAAAATGAATCTTCCAAATCCTTGGAGCTTATTGGATAAAACATAACAACATTTCCTAATGATAATATTAAAAACGTACCTCTGAAAGAATTATCAAAAATGCTTATTAATTTTTTTAAGAAAAAATCAAAAATTGAAAAAGATAAATTTAAGTCAGAGCTTTTATTACAGTCACCTAGTTTTCTTGCTCTAAAAACAAAGTCAATCTTTGCAAACTTCAGGATTCAAAAAGGTATTACAACTTGATTAGAGAAAATTCCAATACATTTGGTGAGATGTTAAATACGTATGACTTTATGGTCTGAAGTTCATTATGAAATAATAATCAGTTAAAAAAGGTGAAATTTCTTAATAAAGCATAGTAAAAATCAAAAAAAAATTTTATTAAGAAATTTAGCAAAATTATATTTTTTTTAATTGATTATTATTTTATAATGATGCAATCAAATATAAAAATTACATTGATCTATGGGGCTTTTAGTAACTTTGTTTGAACTAAAAATGGAATTGCAATTGGTTGCAACTTGATTGCAATTCTCTGATTGGCTATCACAATCAATCGCAATTAAATCACAATTCTCTGATTGGATACCGCAAGTTGCAATTAATTGAGACGCCATCTTTAGTTTGAACAATACTATAATGCAATGATCTCATGCAGCTTGAAGAAACAAATGAATTAAGAATATCTTAAATATCACAGGTCATTGGTATTTTATAATAAGTGTGAAAGTGTCCTCCAAAGAAATGTGAACGTATAAGTTGCAAACATCTTTATGATACACCCAATTTCATGCGAATCCACTCCTCTTCATCACTTTTACCATCACCTCTTTAAGTAAAAAAAATTGTAGAATGAAAATACTCGACATCTTTCGCCTTATTTTCTATTACCTCTTTGGCTTCTTGTTACCTCTCTCCTCGCCAACTTAGCAGAACAATTAGAAAAAAGTAGCAAGCAGTCTGCTAAAAGACAAGTGTACTAAAGAAACTGAAAACACAAAACCTGTTCTTTCATTATTTCGAAATAAAATTGTGGTCTAGTACTGAGCGTCGGACCGTATAAATTTATCAAACAATCCCTATCACTCCTCCCTTAGTCGGTCGGTTCGTCAAGTTTCACGTGAAATCGGAGATCACGAGAACAATTTATACAAATTCGGGGGTTAGCTAAAACCTGGTGTATCCGGTGATCTGTCCGAGAAACAAGCCAATAAGAATGCGTAAATTTTGGATCAACACGAAAAAACAAATGGAAAGTGTATGCTTTAATCTATCTTGGAGCACTAATTAAAAAAGTTGGGGAGACATATACTCTAGCCCTCCACTCTAACCCTAATCCTAACCCTAACGCTAATAAATCAACTGTGATAAACACGTATCACATCTTCACCAGGCTTTAGCCACCCCCAAATTCGGTTTGCCGATAGCGATAGAACTTTGCGTTTTGTCTCCCCCTACAAAAAGATAGACGTGAAATTAGGAAACGTGTTCATTTTTCTTCAATAAATAACTACCGTAAACTTCACCACAACAGTGAATAAGCACTACTATGTTTAAATTATAAATTCGCTTTAAATGGCGATAATTTTAAATTGTGAGGAAGTGTCTAGAAACGAATACCACCCATTTTTTAGTACAACAGTTTACGGTACTTTCTCTATTAAAAAGTAAGAACTGAAAGTTTTGAGATTATTCTTCCACTTTGTGCAAACTACTAATCCGATGGATATCAAAGAATCGCAACTCGATGACACGACAGCCAGATTACCATATTGATCGTTAACAATAATGCCTACATCGAATCCACCATTGCAGGCAAGAGAAGTTTTACATACAGCATTTTATAGGTCAGAAACAGAATGTACTTGGATCGAATTTGTTGCCTTGTAGAATTCTTTAATCAAAATGGGTTTTCAATCAGTATTGCAATAAGGTGCGTGTTAAAGCCTCACAGCATAAAACTTCTCAAATGATTCAAAGTTGAAGTTCGGTTCCAGTTCCAGTTTATCTGTCGAAATCTTTACCACTCAAGGATAATTTCCGATATAACTAGTTCCTCGCAAATTTAGTAATTGAAGAGGGTAAAGGACCCAACCGTTCATTACTACAAGGTTTGCTCTTGATTCAAAGTAAATGGATAAACGAAATGAAAGGCTCTATTCTATGACCCAACGTCTGAGTCAGTACTCGCTGTTCGCCAGAACACGTCGTAATTATTTTCCTACTTCCTCACACAGGTTCGTCCTCTCTTTCAACTTTTTCCTGATTTTGCTTCTCTTGCATCAAACGTCGTCTTTCCTCATCGTATTGTTTGTCCTTCTCAACTCTCTTCACATTTGCCCCGCATAATTATAATCTGTACTCGGTTCGCGATCACATGATAACAAACCAATAAGAATGCGCAAATCATATGTGTGAGAGCAACTACTAAAGGTTGATTTTATCGTTTATGTTAGGGGTAAGAGTTAAAGTTGGGAACAAAGTTAATGTAAAATTGCCTCCCCGACATTTTTTATTAGAGCTCTAAATTAGATTTAGACATCTGTTTCCCGTATTTTTCACATTTTTCATTTTTTTGTATTGAATTTGTTTTGCCGGGCTGATCAAAAATTTGCGCATCCTTATTGGTTTGTAGATGACTCCCACGTCAATCACGTGCGTTATACAAAAGATCAGATGATCCATAAAAAATCAAAGCAATCCTTATAAGGTTTTTTGTGATACTATCGTAATTTGATATCATATTTCAACCCGAAAATAGAAATAGGTTAACTAAGCCTGAGAAAATTATTAGCGTTAGCGTTAGATATACCGATACTGTGTACGTACATGTACATGTACGTGTACGTATATATATACAATCAAAAATACATGTAGTGGGATTGAATGAAATGAGGATTATCATGCCACCGGTACATACAATAACGATAACAAAACAAAAATAACATGAACTAACCTAACATTCAACTGCATAACAACGTATCGGTATGTTTTGACCGAGTGTGTGAAGCAATTGGCTGATAACGACAATTTGATAATTGACAATGAAAAAAACAATAATATGACGCAAAAACCTCAAAAAATTACCCACCACTACCACTTAGCGTTAGTTTTTCTACCTGAATTCACTTTAAATAATACGAGTTTATCCATTAAACTTCATACCGGAATTTTTGAACTTTTAAAGTAAAACAAATAGTTGAAACACTCGCTTTAGCATATCAAAATAAAATAATAATGTCTAAAACATCACCTACACCAGAAAAACATATATCATTTATTGAGAAACAAACGGTTGCTAATGTATTGGCTGAAAAACCAAATATCCAGTTACTTATTCAACTGCCGGTGAACGCTACCGTTGAAGAAGCATTTGACTTATTGTTAGCTGGTGATTGTTTATTATTTATTGACAATCGATTCTGAATATGCGTTCAATAGTTTACTCTTATTGTCAATAGAGAATATTTTGAGTGTTCCTGTATATAGAATATGGAAAGGACATAGAGAACCGATTGCTTTAGTTAGTGCGTTTGATTTGGTTACGTTCGTGTGTTTACAGGTGAGAATAACGTTATATTTTTTAGGGAATGGTTGAATTTACTAAGCTTTAATTTTTTGTAGTTTAATGAACCCGACAATCAAGAATCATTTAATGAGAAATCAATTTTTCTCCAGGTAAATTAGAATATCTGATGCTATTATGAGAGAAAAATATAAATAATTAACTGAATCATATAAATCAAATTGAATACTAAAGAAATCAGTAGGCGAATTAATTGGTCTTTCACCGGAATCAACACATCTCACAATTCGTCATCCATCAGACTCTCTTAAAGAACTACTCGTTCTTTTTACACATCACAAAGTCCACCGAGTCCTGGTAACCAGTCAAGTTCCCTCGTCACCCAACGAAACAGTCATTAATGAAGACCTAATTCAACCGTGCTTTATTTCACAAACTGACGTAATTCGATTTCTCGTCAAAAATAATCATCGATTGGGAGAAATTTTGGATATTTCCGCGTCAAAGGTCGCGAATCGTGCGTCATTATCACGTCAGGGAGGATCCGTAGCATTATCGACAATCACAATACATGATCAAGCGTTGACTGCTTTTCGCAAAATTTACGAAGACAAAGTTAATGCCGTCGCGATTTTGAATGATGAAGGAATGTTAGTGGGTGAAATTTCTGCGGCTGATTTACGAGGATTGAATAGAAGTGTAAGTTTTCTATCTCTATTTGAAATATTTTTTATATATTCTATTCGAGTAAATATCTTTTTACAATAGCGTCTAAATGACCTCGAGAAACCAGTAGTAATGTTTATGAATACGTGCAAAGGAGGACTAGTCAAACCGCTGACCTGTCGAGAAAAATACACTCTGAGTCAAGTAATGTCGGGAATAATGCTTAGAAAAGTGCATCGTGCTTGGCTTCTTGATGACGACAATATCCCAATCGGTGTAATCACCTTAAGTGATATCTTGTACATGTTTCTGTCGCCTGAAACGAGCATTACTAAACAACAAGAGAATAATTCTTTTTCTCCATACTCGTTATCTTCGTCTTTTCATCACTGAAATTTCATTATTACATGTATTATGTGAACACGCGTTTTTTGTTTATAATAAAAATTTTATTACATACAAATATATTACTGTATAAAGAAAACTTGTGTTTTCTGCGTGAACATCGAATGAAAATAAATTCTAAAAATTAATCCTTTTGAACCCAACATTTAACATAAACATTATCGTTATGCACATCAAATCTTTTATATATTCTTCATATTCTTTAGCGTTCAGTTTCAACAGCCCTTGATTCTTCGCGTAGAAAATGGATGTAATATGTCTGCCTGTATTTCACCTACATTATTGGCTAATCGTAAAAAGTCCATGACATGAATTTTCGAAATTGATGTATTTTGACAGTACGTACCAGTACACAAGTTTCAGTGTGTAGGTAATTTGGCAGTTCGAGATGATTGACGGTCAATTTTGTTATTATTTTTATTTGAATAAAATCAGTTTCATAGTACTCACAAGCATCTGAAAGCCGCGTAACGCAAGGACCTCCATCACGAATGTTTATATCTAATTCTGAAATCTAAAAAAAAATATAGGCGTCAATTAGTTCGTTCAAACTATGCGCGAAATTTTGACTCGTTAAAAAGAACACTCATTCTTAAAACTAAAGAGAAGCTAACCTCAATATACCCATTCGGCCGTAACACTCGAACAGCATCCCTAATTACTAGATGTTCCCACTGATCAGGCGTGAACGCGAATACTAGCGATCGTAGATACACGTAAAGTTTCATCATTAAACGGTAGTTCTTCAAGTAAATGTGCTCTTATGAATTGTGCATTCATATTTGTTTGGGTCGGGAGAATATCAAGGTATTTTATTCCGTAAACAATGAGAATTTATAGTCTGCAGGCCCATATGCCTGGTCCGCATCCACCAAAACCAATTAATTGCATAGTAATCGAGAATATATTAATAACACTTACCCAAGGTCCAATACAGAGAAGCACCTGGTCTTAGAGCATCTTTAACCGGCGCCGAAAAATTATCTTTTAGCTTCTCTATAAATGTGATGTTGAATTTGAACATGATCAACTAAAAATGTTAATTAACAAAGAAAATATTTCGCTTTTTCCTCAGAATAAAATTATTATTGCAATTACCGTATTCTCCCGAAAATAGACACCACCTGAGAATAAGCACCATCCCCTGTTTAGACTGAAAAGTAAGAAAATTATGAATAAGCACCACATTAGATTAAAAAAATTATGTTTATTATACTAATTATAACATATATTTAATCTTCAAAATAATTTTCTTCAATAAGACCCAACGTTTTATTTTATTTCGTATTTTAATTTCTCTTGAAGGCAGTCTCAATAAGCCCTTCGGTTGTTATTATTAATTGAACCTTTTTAATTCTTATTATTACGTTGGTCAGTTTGTGTACAAGCTGCCACAGGAGATCTCTAGAACCATAAAGAAATCCTTTATTACATAAATCATTCAGTCTAACTCCTAACTGACAGTCACAACCATTTCTCTTTATCTCGTAATCTTTTATTAACAACGTGACACCACCTTCACTTTGCTATGACACTTATTCCAAATAAATCCGGTAGATATTCAAGAAACTGTCCAGAAATAAGCACCACCCCCTATTTTGGAGTCCAAAAAATGGCAGTCAAGTGGTGCTTATTTCCGGGAGAATACGGTAATTGATTAGTTTGCCTCCTTCGTCATTCATTTTCATAAGATATTGATATGTTTCGTCAGAACTTACTCTTCGAAAATTATAACATGATGACGGCGTTGTTGTTGCTGGTGTCGATGCGGAGTTGCCCATTTTTAGATTCAATAAGGATAAAACCAATAATGTTCAGAAGAAAAAAATAACCGCAAATCACGATATTTTTACAAAATCAAAAGTTTTTTAAATATCAAAAGCAAAGAGAAAATGAATAATAATTATAATTACCAAATACAGTATGTAACTATTAATACATGTAATAGCATTTGCCTTTGTTAAGTTATATGAACGTATCGGCATGCACATATACAAACAAGTGAGTGTATAGTAAAGTGGAGTTATCGTTATCAATATAACATTGCGCTCATAAGTACATGTACGTATAACAATAATTAACAAATTAATGCATTTAATAACGGTCATTCTCATATAATCACACCATCGATAGCAATTTTAATCATACGGAAGAAAAGAGGATTCTGTGAGTATAAAGAGAAGAAAATACATAACCAAACTTCATGTTGAAAAAATGACACTTTTTACATTACATGTATCGGTATTATAATTTTTTACTATCAGTAATAATCAACACCAACAATTACACCTGTAAAAGTGGTAACAGCATTCTCAATCCTGATTTCTTCTTTGCCTTCTTTCATAAAGCACTCAACATCTTCTCTTTAAGTTAATGCTTCATTACTCTTAACACCATCGATAATTACTTTGTCATCATTTCTTTGTACTAGAAATAAAATCAGATACATGTACAGTTAAACCAAAGCACTAATTAAACCTCAATAACCGAAGTTGGGTCCAGAAGCAGTTATAGTACATCTCCAAATTTTTCAAAATTTTTTACTAATAGCACCGACCACTTCGGTTTAACGAGGTTGACTGTCATGTATAACACTACATAATGATAAACTGCATAAAATGGTATTATTAAATATAGCGATAGTAATTACGTATATCGTAAGTCAACCGTATTAACTGAAAAATAAATTCGATTGATCTTATAACTCGAAAAGTTGATTATAATAATAAATATATATTTAAAAATTTTTATTTTAAGATAAATTTTTTGAAAATATCATTTGAATTAACCGATCAAATTATAGGTTATTCTAGAATATAAGGTAAAAGAGAATATTTTGGTAAATGAATATATTGTGATGAAGTTATTATATCTCAATATTGGTCTTTTTAACTTACTTCTGAGTAATAAGTAGATATATGGAAAAATATATTTGCACGTATTTACTTATTGACTAGAAGCAAGTTAAAAAGGCCAATTTTAAGAAAAAGCTATTTGAACATACAAATTGATTGAATTAGTTTGTTCAGAGCCAACTGTCTCTAAATTGGTCTTTTTAACCTACTTCCAAGTAATAAGTATATATATAACATATTCTTTTATACATTTTACACATATTTACTTATTACTTGGAAGCAAATTAATATAGTGCAAACAGTTTATACTCATCCAATAGTTTGAACTATAAAGGCTTTGTATCAAAACATGCAACCACAAAAAAAATACATTGCCAGATAGCTCTAGATAAGATCTATAATTCTATGTATTTTTTGTAAAGTTAATTAATAATTTTTTGAGTAGTTGTATTTTTTTGGAGAGCACTTTAAATAGTGTTATGATATGAATATTTAGTTCTTATTTTATTGGTTAATTCATATCATAAATTTAATTGGATGATATTTTA